TTAAATTATCATCTTTATTTACTACTTTGGAATACAGCTCTTTTTTGGGACAAGCAAAGACAATATTCGCAAGTCTTGAGAGTACCTGACAATAATAAATATGGGTCTGTTGTTCTCCTGTACTACAGTCAAACAAACTATGTTATGATCTAATATGAATTTGTACAAAATAAAACTATTTCTCAATTATATGCATGGATAATAAAAAGGAAAAAATGCAATAATAAAGGAAATGATAAAAATAACAATATCAGTTCTACGTGATTTTCTTTCATTTCATCTTACTGTTATTTGATCATCGCAACACAGCCATCTCATGTCTAGCTGTTGTTATATTAAAGTGTAATACTTATGAGTATTTGTTTACTTCATTATTTACCTTACAGAAAAATGCAAAAAAAATATATATATATTGGCAACTGTAATCAGTATTTTTTCTACATTGTCAATTATGGTAAGTTGTATATAACTGAAGACAGCTAGAATGGCAGCTTATGCATCAAAAGATGAACAAACTGCAGCCCAAAATTTGTTTATCTAAACAGAAAAAAAGGGAGGGGGGCAAGAATCAACATATCTTCCAAGGATGAGTCATTTAAACTCTCTGAACACTCTTGGAGAAAAGGAATGCCTATACTGAACCCTAAGCTTTAAATCACTTAACATATTAAAATATTTCTTTCTCTTAGTTGCACCCCACTTCTTCACATTAGCCTTACCTTCTTGCAAATGTTCACAAGGGAACAAGCAGGAACGACGGATGATGGACGCATTAGGATTTTAAAGCACTATGGAGGGAGTACATAAGCTTACATTATATTCATGTGGTCTCATTTCTTGAGAATACACTATCTGACTTATGGAGCAAGACAGGGATAAGGGTTAGAGCAATATGAAAATCAAGGCATAGATTCAGTTAAGAAAACTCATCGCTAAGTGCAAGTGACTTGGATCTTGGTGCAGAAATTGTTAATAGATCAAATATATTCACATAGAATAATGGATGAAGGAATAGGTTTAATGCATTATTGAATAATGAAGCAGAAACTTTCCTTAATTTTACCAATCACTTAATAATGCATGCTGATAATTTATATTAATTAGCCATTTCACATATTAATACAAGGATAAATGCAATATGTAAATGTGTTGAGCAAAAAGCACCAAGATATGCCTTACAGGTTAGTGATAAAAAGGAAGTTCTCTATGAACATCAGGATTACAGAAAACTAAGCCTATTTTTTCCACCATACATTTTTGGCAGTACAAGTGGCTCTATGACTTGGTAATTTCCTTACTATAAGTTATAGAAACCTATTTTGGATCTTACTAGACAACATATCAGTACAAGCTAAAAATAACGGTAACAGTTATAGCCAAGAAGTTCAAGGTGAAATAACAATGGAAAAATGTATGGAAATCTAGATGGAGTGTTGCTTACTGAATAGTAATTATGTTAATATTCTAAAAATTACCTCAATAATAATCATTTATCAGTAATAATTACTCTTACTGCTACATCTATCAGTTATAATTATGATAGTAATAATAAGAACTAATAATAAGAATAAAACATGAATAATCAGAAATTATTTCCAGCACACTGATTCTTCATCTGTATAATAATTGGTCATACATATTCCCTTTAATTCTTTAGAGATTTTCTCATCTTTGTATATTCTTTCAAAACTTAGATGGAATTTATGCTACTACACACTGCCTAATGCAAAACCAGTGTGCTTCAGTGCAAACTAAAGTATAGCAAAACTCCTCATCCTCTCTAAGCTTGCTAAAAAGATGGTTACTCTTTACTTTATACAAATGTTTCTCTACCACTGCTAAATGCAGGTCACAGATATTGTTAAATGGAAGAAGCATGGACTGATGGTGATGCTGATAATGAAGGGGTTAAAAAGGAAAATAAAATGTATTAAAACTACACAGCTAAAGAATAAATGTTAGAGGGGCTGGCTTGTATGAAACAACATTCCTGTTGCCAAGTATAATGACTGAAGTGGCCCTACTATAATTGTGATGCCTACAAATATTACTTATTTTGTGAAATCTTATATTGCAGTAATAACAGGCAAATTGTAGTATGACACAGAATTTAAATAAAAACAAAATGAAAAGACTGTATATACAAAATAACTCCAATGAAACTGTAAATTAAATAGCATAAAAAATAAAGATTGTATCTGAAATAAAAGCCAAAGGAGAACACTGCATTTATCATCAGAGGATAACTGGAAACTTGATCATACTTAGAAGTCCTTATTCTACACATTCTCTACACTATGGGCCATTTCTTGGAAAGTTTGAGTCTATAAATGGATACATCTACTCCTACTCAACACTGGATATAATACTTGTACAATTCTTTCATATTACATGTGGAATCATGTAATTTGTAACATAACTGGGATAAAAAAAAAAGAGATAACAATCCACTGTTAAACAAAATAATAATACTATGGACACGACTAGATACATCATTAATTTCTATTTCATTAAAATTCTAAACAGGCTTCCCATTCTGCAAAAAGCTCAATTATATAAAAAATATATATATAAAAAGATTTAAATTGATTGTATACTGTGTTCATCTAAACCTTGGAAAGCCTTGTAAAAGACGTGTATATAATGATGGCAGTGTTTTTTTATATTGTTTTATATCTAGAATACTGAAGTGAAAAAAGATATCATCAAAGTAATTTTACAATCAGCTACTGAGATTCTCAAAGATTTAGAGTTTACAAATTCTGCACTTAGAACAGAGAGTTAAAAGAGGCAATGTAAACATCAATGAACAAAACAAATGTTAAAGCTTCTTACTTTACGTACGCAGGTCAATACTGCTGTACAGAAGAAAATAATTACAGGACATATATTTCTCTCTCTTTGGTCTTTGAATAAACCTAATATTTACTCAAGATTAGGCTAATGATATTCATATCATTGATAAAATCAAATTTAAAATTACCTCAGACATAACTTCATTTTTTTTTTCTAAGCAGCATTTGGTTATAATCTTTCTGATACTAAAATAAAAATAATATAAATTAACAAATACAACTCCTCACCTGACTCACAAATAGATCAACAAGATAATATACTTTAACAACGAAAAGTAAACAACAACTGAACACTTCAAAGAATGTTAAAATAAGTCAGGATATTTCCTGATGACTAGGAAATAATACAACTTACATCAAGGAAATCCTATTCACTCCAAAATAATCTAAAACAGCCTCAGTGACACAAATGCTGACTTTACTTGCTATCAATTCATTATCTTTGAATATACTTGGTGAATCCTTTATGAACTAAACAGTGCTCACTCGAACCTAGCTACCTGCTGTATAAAATTATAAGGATGTTCCACACTCGTAAGATCTCTACCATCTAGTAGTTACGTAATTACCACAGGATCACAGTGTAATTACTTTGTTATTAAGCTACCTTAATCAGGTTATCACACATCCTTTTCTCAATTCTTCTAAATACTCGTCTACATTATAAAGTTTGTACATCACTGTCATCTAGAACAGTAAAATAAAATGCCTGCTACATTCTGTATGGTAAAATATTCTGCAGTGTTTAGCTGTTAAAAAATATCTGTTCATACATGTATAAAGGTGATTGCTTTTTTCATAATGCCAGGGATAAATATTAGTAAATAAATTAACTTTAATTTACCTGTTAAACAGTTAGAATGTGTATTTGTTTTAGCTCTTTTTATAACAATTGCTGTTAAAAAAAGAATGTCTCAAAATTTCTAATAAATCATTAACTATATAATAGGATATCTGTATCATGATAAAGATTGCATGGTTGGCCTGGATTACTGTTAAAACAAAAAGAACAGATGCTTCATAGGAATATGATCCAATGCATTCATTCAACAATGAGTATTTTGCCTAATATACCAAACTTTTGCAAAATATGATAGTAGGTCTGTTTATAACTTCCTTACCAAAAGCACTGAATAAAAAGTATTTCCTATTAAGTGAAATGAAAAATTCAATAGTATAACAGAAGTGTTGTAAATATAATATGTAACAAAAATATCCACTTCTATACAGTAAATATAGAATGGAGTTACTTTTTCATATGACTGAACATCATATATCATCTCATGGTTTTAAGTAATTCTTTTGATAATATTGAAACAATAAACAAGAACAATGACCAATATCAGCACAAAAAGTTCTTTACAAATTTGTGCTACCATTCATATTATCCATAAACTGCATAATACTTGCATTTGTCACTTACTTTTACACTTATTATATAAAGCAGCCATATAAAATAAGTGGAAAAAATTAAGCTCAGTACTGACGAAAGGTATGATAATCTTGAACCTTTTCATCAATTATATTGGCTTTTTTCTACCTAAAAATATGATAAAATACCTTTTTGTTCATGCAGAAGACATATTCAGGTCAATAGTAATACTGGATGAGTACAGAATCTACAATTTTCACAACATTTTTGTTGAAAATGAAGGCTCCTTCTTGATACCCTGTGTGAACTGGGGACCCTTTGCCAGTCCCTGTGGACCTTTACGCAGCCCTGGGTCCTGTCCACGAGCTCTTCCTGAGGGGCCTCGGGCGTGACTGCGGTTAGGTCCCTGAGCCAAGGTTTTGCACTGGGTTTTTAAATTCTCAGGATTGGGCCCATGCCATGCTTGGTAATCAGTCCTACAAATAGAAATTGTAAATTTGAAGTGAAACATTGAAATAAATAATATCATAAGTCTTCAATAAATCTTTTACACTTATGGATACAAGAATAAATATTATGACTT